TATATACACTATATATATACATATACATATACATATATACCTACTATACATACATACATACATACATACATACATACATACAATATTATATATATATCAGATTAGTTATTACCGTAAACTAACATATACATACATACATACATACATACATATATACATACATACATATATATATATATATATATATATATATATCAGATTGTTTTTCCGAAATATAAACGACCCACAAATGAATTTCCAAGAAACAGATCTATACACACAGAGGTGCTTTCTGTGAAATACACATTGATCTCAAACAGGGTATACCTACATACTATACATACGCTTATATAAATACATACATACAATACATACGTATCTATGGACACATACGTACAATACATACGCTGATATGGATACATACAGTCACTGTGTAGATCAAGGAGTGAGTCCCAGCACACAAATCGATTGTCTACACAAACATTGTGTCACACATAACACGCGACATCTTACTTCTTTGACAGTTTCTGTTTCTGTTTCTGTAACCGCAGCACCGTCTTCAGCGTCAGACACAGCTTTCGAGTCCGCATCGCCGCCGCCTAATTGGTCACTTCTCACTTCTTTGGATTCTGATTGGTCGCCTTGAACTTCTGTTGATTCTGATTGGATACTTTCCACTTCTGTTGATTCTGATTGGTCGCCTTGAACTTCTTTTGATTCTGATTGGGGTTCACAGGGTTCACCCGCAGCTTCCGTGTCTGCAGGGGCTTTTGTGCTTCCATCACTCGCATTGACTGATTCCTATTGGTCAAGAACACACGGACGCAGAGGTACAGTTTAACAGCGCAGTACATAGATCCCAGATATACGTCCATGCATGAAGACACATACCTACACATAGACATACTTACGCGTACACATACCTGCACATAGACATACTTACGCGTACACATACCTACACATAGACATACTTACGCGTACACATACCTACACATAGACATACTTACGCGTACACATACTTACACATAGACATACACACCTACCTCCACATCATCACATACAACACAACACCTACCTCCACATCATCACATACAACACAACACCTACCTCCACATCTTCGGATACCGCTTTTATGCCCACCTCCAACTCCACACTCATCTTTTGGATCACTGTCAGGAAGTTCTGACCATTTACTGCTTCTTCATCTGATGACACGTGCACAGGAAGAAAAGATAAGCAACACAGTGAGTATCACTCAAGGCCGCAAGTAGGTATAATAGAGAAGTAGGTACAATAGAGCAGAAACAGAACAGGGATAGCACAGATGGGCAAGGTCTCTGCCTCAGCACACAAGCGGTACACGAGCTCACCGACACGCTACATGAACACGTGTATGCTACAAGTGAACAAGAATAAAACAAATGCACATGCACATACACCCACCCCCACCCACATAAACACATACACCCACTCCACTCACCCACCCACACACACATACACACACACCCACCCACCTAAACATACACACACACCCACCTAAACATACACACACACCCACCCACACACACATACACACACACCAACCCACCCACACATACACACATACACCCACACCCAACCACACACACATACACACATAAAACCACACCTTCATCCGGCGGAGGTACCTCCACGGGATGGGTCTCCATGCGCTGAAACACGGCCGAGAGCATCTGCGTGAGGGTGGCCTTGGCTGTGGTGATGTTGATGGTGCTGGTGCTGCTGAGGTAGATGTTGTAGCATGTCTTGATGGCGTTGAGCAGTGTTTGGCCGTGCACTTCGCAGTTGGGAGACGTCACGGCAGTGAGGATCGCCTGCAGACGCAATGGGCAGTGGATGAGGATGTTAGGTGTATGGGAGGTATAGGACTGGCTGTAGATAGCCAATGGGCAGGGGGTGTGCAAGGGTAGATGTAAGAGAGAGATAGGTGTGTTCTAGGGTTTGTACTGGGCAGTGTATGAGGGTGTCAGGTGTATAGTACTGGGCAGTGTATGAGGGTGTCAGGTGTATAGCACTGGGCAGTGTATGCGGGTGTCAGGTGTATAGTACTGAGCAGTGTATGAGGGTGTCAGGTGTATAGTACTGGGCAGTGTATGAGGGTGTCAGGTGTATAGTACTGGGCAGTGTATGAGTGTGTCAGTTGTATAGTACTGGGCAGTGTATGAGGGTGTTAGGTGAGTATAATACTGGGGAGTGTATGAGGGTGTCAGGTGTATAGTACTGGGCTGTGTATGAGGGTGTCAGGTGTATAGTACTGGGCAGTGTATGAGGGTGTCAGGTGTATAGTACTGGGGAGTGTATGAGGGTGTAAGGTGTATAGTACTGGGCAGTGTATGAGAATGTCAGGTGTATAGTACTGGGGAGTGTATGAGGGTGTCAGGTGTATAGTACTGGGGAGTGTATGAGGGTGTAAGGTGTATAGTACTGGGCAGTGTATGAGGATGTCAGGTGTATAGTACTTGGGAGTGTATGAGGGTGTCAGGTGTATAGCACTGGGCAGGTGTCAGGTGTATAGTACTAGGGAGTGTATGCGGGTGTCAGGTGTATAGTACTGGGGAGTGTATGAGGGTGTAAGGTGTATAGTACTGGGCAGTGTATGAGGATGTCAGGTGTATAGTACTTGGGAGTGTATGAGGGTGTCAGGTGTATAGCACTGGGCAGGTGTCAGGTGTCTAGTACTAGGGAGTGTATGCGGGTGTCAGGTGTATAGTACTGGGGAGTGTATGAGGGTATAAGGTGAATAGTACTGGGCAGTGTATGAGAGTGTCAGGTGTATAGTACTGGGGAGTGTATGAGGGTGTCAGGTGTATAGTACTGGGCAGTGTATGAGGGTGTCAGGTGTATAGCACTGGGCAGTGTATGCGGGTGTCAGGTGTATAGTACTGAGCAGTGTATGAGGGTGTCAGGTGTATAGTACTGGGGAGTGTATGAGGGTGTCAGGTGTATAGTACTGGGCAGTGTATGAGTGTGTCAGTTGTATAGTACTGGGCAGTGTATGAGGGTGTTAGGTGAGTATAATACTGGGCAGTGTATGAGGGTGTCAGGTGTATAGTACTGGGGAGTGTATGAGGGTGACAGGTGAATAGTACTGGGCAGTGTATGAGAGTATCAGGTGTATAGTACTGGGCAGTGTATGAGGGTGTAAGGTGTATAGTACTGGGGAGTGTATGAGAATGTCAGGTGTATAGTACTGGGGAGTGTATGAGCGTGTCAGGTGTATAGTACTGGGGAGTGTATGAGGGTGTAAGGTGTATAGTACTGGGCAGTGTATGAGGATGTCAGGTGTATAGTACTTGGGAGTGTATGAGGGTGTCAGGTGTATAGCACTGGGCAGGTGTCAGGTGTCTAGTACTAGGGAGTGTATGCGGGTGTCAGGTGTATAGTACTGGGGAGTGTATGAGGGTATCAGG